GGGATGGGTAGAGTTAATACTTTTTCAGTCGTCTGATTTTATTTTTGATGTTATTTTTGAAGAAAATTGGCGTTGGACATTTTCAGTAACGACAGAAATGTTGGCTGGCTACACTGCTGCGATAATAACATAAAAAGCAAGCGCACCCAGAAACCTGCGTTTGAACGACTCAAAGTAGGTCCATAGGCAAATTTGTTAAAATCTTCAATTTCTCGAAAACTATTTATCCCTCAGCGTACTGGCTTTTCAGGGCAGTTTATATTCATAAGCCGAACATTCCCTGATAGTTTCCATCCCCTGGGGTAAAAAATTAAAAGATAAAAACAACCCCCAAAAGTCAACGGTCGAACCAGCAACATGGAGCCGAGCTGGACAGTAACCCAGCACCCAACCGCATGCGCCACCAGAACACAATCTAGACCAGCTCTCAGACAACGGTATAAGAGTAACAGGGGGTTCAGGCCATCCCATTGGCTGGGAGCGCGGCCCGAGCCGTGAAACAGGCGAAATCGGGGTGTTTTTTTCGAGATCGGCCTGCCGAAAAGGTGCTTTCTCGGGCCGACCGGGGCGCAGGGCCGCGCGCCCAGCCAATAGGCCAATAGGTATGAATAGTTTTCGAGAAATCAAAGTTCTAAAAATTTCGAACTACGACCCTACTTTGAAACGATATAAAACTGGTTTCCCAAAGCGTGAGGGGATCACCCATTTCAGGATCTGTTCAGTTGGTGGCTCAGAAAGTTGCATGCTGGACCGCTGGTCGATTCGGCTCTCCGTGTCGTAGGTTCGACTCTTGACTTTTGGGGGTATTTTTTTATTTCTTTATTTTTTTACCCCAGCTAATGAAGACTAGCCAGGAATGTTCGGCCCATGAATATAAACTGCCTTGCAAAGCCCGGTCGCTGAGGGATGAATAGTTTTCGAGAAAAGTTCTAAAAATTTTGATTTCGGTTTCCCGCTTAGTTTAAGCGAATTCTGTTGATTTCGATTAATTTTTATCCTGATGATTCCCAGGCAGGTGTACACATGATTCCCGGAGTTATTGCCCCCTCGGTCATGTCTTAGCCTGGACACGCCGTATACTTACTTTTCATTGCCTTTGCTAAGTAATTAGTGACTTGAATTTATTGGCAAAGGTGTCGCAATAAAAAGTATAACTCTTATTTTCTGTTAAGAAAGAAATCTTTGCATAAAAAATTCATTACTATCCCACTCATGAATAAAATCAGAACTGAACGCCTGCAAATGCTATCACCGCTCGCAAAACTTTTGTGTATTACTTACAATATTCACTTGAGTGCAATCATAGTGTTATGTTTTCACAGGACCTGAACGCCAACCCTGCAGACCTTCCGGACAGCATCGTACTGATCCGGCTGATTGAAAACGACGGCGCAACGCCTCGCAAGAAGTATAGCTTGGAGGATGCAGAGGTCCAGCAGCTGCGGCGCGGAGTGGAAGCTGGGCGGAAGGTGGTGGAGCTGCTGCAGCTGGTGATGCCCAAGGCCGTGGAGGCCCTCATCCGCCAGCTGGACTCGTTGGTCACCCAGCTGCGCCAGGTGGAGGAGGCCCTTGAGAGGAAGGTTCAGCGGGCTGCAGGCGGCGAGGAGGACAGCACCACGGTGGTGGAGCAGGTGAAGCTGGCGGTGCAGCTGGAGGACAACCTGCGCCTGCTCACCGCAAAGAAGTGCAGCGTCGTAGCGGAGGACGACGGTGCCACCTGGACGGCCTGGGCCGAGCTGGGTGGATTTGGCGACATCCTGAGGCTTCTGCTGCTGCAGCTGCGCGCGAACGGCGAGCTGGAGAAGGTAGGCCACCAGGCAGACGGACCAGATGTTGATCCCCTCTGTTTCGTGCTATTAGTGTATTTCGGATAACGGAGGAAGAAGAATAGAGGGTAGAACATAAAGGTTCCTGATTGGTCGGGCCTTCACCCCCTCTACCGGCGTGACGTAGGGGCGGGAAGCTCTCGACCAATCGGGAACGTTTCTGTTCCATCCGCTCTTCATCTTCCTTCGCGTTAGCCGCAATACACTATACCGTTTCTTTTTCTGTTTTTTGGCAGGTTGAGGATGCCGCTTGTACACCCAGTCCTGGAGTTTACGTTGGACCACCTATTATCTCGGTCTTAAGGACAAAGGAAGACGATTGTGAAGATGGCCATTTAAAGGTCAATGACCTTCTTCTAGACAGGCAACGGTGGAGGTACGCGCGCAGCCTCAAGAGCTCACACGCCGACGGTCTGGAGGGGCTCCTGTCTGTCGTGGCGCCTCAGCTCGAGGAGCTGGAGATCCCGCGGCCGGTGCAGCCGAGCGTGATGGTGGAGGTGGAGAAAATGAAGTCTCTCAAAAGACTGGAAGTAAGATGCGTCGATGACTTGGACTACGCTGACCTCCCGCTGCAGCTCGAGGAGCTCGCGATTCGTTCTCCCTGTGAAAATCAGCTGCGATGTGTGGGTCGGATGCCCCGGCTGCGCAGCCTGCAGGTAGACGACTACCTTGGACCTAATGTGAGCTTCGCTCCCTCGCAGCATGGAACCCTGCGGTGGCTTAGTTTGTGCCTCAATACAAAGCACAAGTCAACCATGATGTCGCTCATCCGCGCCTACGCCTCGTCAGTGCAGGAGATCGTGATATTCTGTAGCGTCGGTGATGATTATCTGAATAAAGGATTCTACTTCCCCGACCTGGGCGAGGACTTGGCGGCGTGCGGCCTGCTCGCCCTGCGACGGCTCGTCCTCGATCGGCCTGCAGCTGACCCATGCACCGACCAGGTCGCTGCCTGCCTGCTGCAGTGTCGGACCATCGGAAGCTCCTTGCCTTCATATGTCCAAGTGGTCTGCGAAACGTGTCACATGTCGCCATTCTAGGGGGAATGCCTCCAGTGTACTTTTAACTTCTAGCCTGCTTCTTGAATGTGGTTGTGGCTGTAATGGCGAGCAAAACGTTTACCCTTCCTGTTGTTTTACACATACATACCGTCGTGTATTTGTCTTTTGTACAAATGCTCTTAAAGTAATTCTCACTGTGGAGATTGTTTTCCAGTGCTTTTTAAAGTTTAACTGGTACTTCACAAAAATAAAAGGAGTAATACTTGAAAGGTGTTCATTTCTATTAAATATATTGCCTGAGAGCCTAGATGCGGCCGTCGACCACAGTGGAAGTCAGTTGAGGTCGGGCGTCATGGGCGGTGGAGCCCCTGTAGACCGACTCCACGCTAGGCTCCGCACACCTGCAGCCGGCCGGGACAGACCTCCTCGGGCCGAGCGCCTGGCGGGTAGGCAGCCCGCGGGCGTCGCTGTGTGGCCGGCCGGCCCAGCCAGCCGGGCGGCCGCGGGGCGCAGCGTTCAGCAGGAGAGTCCACTTGAATCAGAGTCTTCTCTCGTTTACAACTATACGTTGACCTTATACAGGCATTCACAAGTCAGCGCGATTGTTTTTCCCCTCCGGCCGTCGCTAACGCCAGTCGGGTTGGCGCCCTGCGGTGCAGCCGGCAGGCGCGCAGATTAACTCTTGCACAATATTAACCCAATGCGGTTTTGCATACCGTCTCCTTCAAGAAGACTTTTTACGAGGAGGGAGGAGGCAGCCCGCTCACATCCGCATGCGCTAAGGCATGGCTAAAGTAAAACTACAACAAACTGGAGTTTACGGGTCCGTCCTGCATTGGCACCAGCCTTCGTGACGACGAATGGGCTAGTGAGTGAGCCTCCGTCCCCGGCTGCCATGAGTAGTGATTGTCGGCATCTTGACCAGCGCGAACAGACGACCACGCCCTCGCGAGGCTTGGCAGCGGACCGGCATAGAGGCCCACTGCGTTCGTATTTACGCGCGCCGCGCCCACCGCCTTGTGCGGCCGGCCGCCGGCAAATGAAAACAGTGCAGCAAGCAAGCAGCCGACAGCCGGCGTGTTGTGGACCCGATCATAACCTGTCCTGCTTGCAGAATCGTCAACCAATTTTAGACTGTTGTGCTGCTATTGGGGTCACAAAAACAGGTTGCATACTTTCCCCTATCCCTGTTCTTGCTCCTGGGAAGATTTGTATGACCTGTCGCAGAAGTGTTCAACTCATCTCGTTCTGGCCACCTGCCAGACAACTACATTTTGAAAAGTTAAGAACTGGTTCACAGCAACGGAACAGGTAGATTGTTTTGGATACTGAATTTCTCAATGCTGTCTTGCTTTTCTATTCATAAACGTTTTAATATGATGTGACTGTTGGAGCTACTGACCCAGTGAATTTTCATTATGTACTCATAAATTCCAATCATACAAAACTTATAGAATTGTGGTTTTGTAAGGTATGTTGATTCAGACAACATATTTTCTCAAAGTGTGCCAATCCTTCTCTATTTTTACAGTGATGGAACTACAGTGTGACATTTGCTTTAATCTATTTGACCTGGACCACCACCGTCCAAAGAGCTTGATCTGTGGACACACCATTTGTCAAGAGTGCGTGCAGAATCCTGGCTTGGGAGGGAAGTGTCCAACTTGTAGAAAGGTGAGTAAATAGTTTGTGAATCTGCTACAATTTTACATTCTATTTACCCTACCAACAGAGATTCGTCACAAAACATCAGTTTGACGTATTAGTGATGTGAAAATTACGTTTTGGGGTCCAATAATACGTTATAGTGATGCGAATTTTGATGATTTTGATGGTTTTTGACTAATCTCTATTGGTAGGGTAGTTTATCATATGTTCTTTACTTTGTATGGATGGGTGGTTTAATGTAAGGTGTTTTGATCTCCTTTACTCAGGGAAAAAACAATAAAAAGAAAAATGTTATATAGAGAAGTCCACTTTTAATGAACTTCAAAAACAAGTTATTTCAAAAACATTGAATTCTGTGAATCCATGTTACTGTTATCTCAAATAAACAAAATGTTACTACCAATCAATAATGAACTTAACTTCAATTGGAAGCGTCGCACTGTTTGATAGTGATACAATTGTAAACATTTAAAATCCCACAAAATTATCTAGAAAAAAACACTGCTCTCATTTTACTAGTTTGGCAGTGTGGATGAAATTTTTTTTTTCTGAATGACAACTTATCAGCCATATTGTATGTTCACAGGACCTGAACGCCGACCCTGCCGCCCTCCCCGACACTATCGCTTTGATCCGCCTGATTGAACACGACGGCGCGCCTCCTCTCAAGAAGCCCAGGACAGAGGAGACAGAGGTCCGGCAGCTGCGGCGGGGCGTGGAGGCAGGACGGAAGGTGGTGGAGGTGCTGCGGCTGGTGGTGCCCAGGGCCGTGGAGTAGGGTACCTCGAAAAACACCGTTTTTCGAATCTGATTTCGGCTCGGGTGGATAAATGTTCTATCCAGTAACACTATTAACGGTCTAAAATATTATTTCGATCGGATAAAATCTTCAGCCTCCACAGCGGCCTCAAAGTTTAGCATGGAGCTCTTATGGGAAAAAAGCGTAAACACTGAAATCTTACATTGGAGGGTTCCTGTCATATAATACGCTGTTTTAATTTTTAAAAATGCAATCTACGCATAAAAACGCATCCAGAGATGTGCCACTTGTCATATGAGTACCCGTCCGTTATGACCAAGGCGCTGTCAAAAAAGCTGATTTTGCGTCAAAATTGCAAATTTTGGTCATACAAGCTGGGTACATATGACATGAAGGAGCACATCTCCGGAAGCGTTTTCACGCGTAGATTCCATTTCTACTAATTAAAACAGCGAAATTTTCAACTGGAACCCTCACGTAAAAAATTTCAGTTTTTAACCTTTTTTCCCATAAGAGCTCCATGCTTAACATTGAGGCCGATGTGGAGGCTGAAGATTTTATCCGATCGAAATAATATTTCACACCGTTAATAGTGTTACTGGATAGAACATTTATCCACCCGAGCCGATATCAGATTCGAAAAAAAGTGTTTTTCGAGGTACCCTACCGTGGAGGCCCTCAACCGCCAGCTGGACTCGTCGGTCGCCCAGCTCCGCCAGGTGGAGGAGGCCCTGGAGAGGCAGGTGCAGCGGGGGGCGGCG